TATGTCTTTCCCTTTTTCTATTTGTCCAAATATATGAATGTAAACCAAAGATGTAAACCACCTAAGTTTTGATGCCTCAAGGCCTTTCTGGAGAGATAGAATATAAGCCTATAAATAGCAGGACTTGATTACAATCAATCTTATTGAATTCCATTAACCAAATGTATTACTAGAACTCCCAAAGTGAAAGATAACCAAGAAATGCCCAAGTACTTTCTTTAAAACAAACCAAAAAGCTGCCAATCCTAAAGAGGTTCCAGAGAACAATTTTAAGCTGTCCCTATTTCTTTCCAAGTATTTATTAGTTGATCAAATATAATCACATCAAAATAACCAAGTAAATAAGCAAAGTGACTTAAAATGACTCTCCTTTGATGTGTGACTGAGGAGGCTTTTACAACACCATTTGGGAGCACAATGTAATTTCGTGATTCTCATGTATTTGCTTTCATAAACCCATCTAATAATGTCCCTGAAATGAGACTGAAGCAAAAAACCAGCTTACCCAGCTTAACACTAGCCGTTCCTTTGGCTGATTTTTAATCTTCATCAAGAAATATTTCTTCCTTATCCTCCAACCTGCCATAAAAGCAAAAATGTGTTTATAGCTCTATAATTTTTATGCCAATTGATACGTTTCATTGACTGAGTAATTAATAAAAATTAAGTTTGGCAATGTTATCCAGAGCTATACTCGTATAGGCACAAGTACAACAATCATTTGGTAATGCTGACATGGCAAAGATTACACTAAAAAACCTGGCAAAGGAATTATTCACAGAAATAGGAAAACAGCACTTCAGTTTAGATTTAGGGAAAAAGATAGATGAGGAATGAATGAAGATTCTGAAAGTATAACTTACTACCATCGAAATCCTCCGATGGGGCTTTAACCAAGATTCATTAAGTGTTAAAAGTTAAGGACTGTGTCCTCAAGCAGTAGGGAGGCAGAAAGAAAAAGAAATCACCTGCATTTAAGAGCTTTCTTGGGATACACATAGGAAAGCATGACAAAGAATCCAGTTCTATGATCTTTTATAACAAAATGGGTCTGCCAGTTTCTCACCTATGTCTTTCAACGGTTCTACCACCTCCCACTTTGGTTCTGATCGGAAGAACATGGAAACCTGTTGTAAGGCAATCTCTGCAAAGACATTTTAGAAACTCATTAGTTAAACATACCAGGAAAGCAACATATGCTTAAGATATTATCCTTGCAAATGATATCCTTATAGTCTATGACCTTCTTAAAAAAATTAATTACCAAAAAAAACCACAGACTAAATGCCAATGGGGGTTCTAGACCGGATCCTGCAACAGAAAAAGGACATTAGTGGAAAAACTGTGAAACCTAGAATAAAATCTGTAGTTAATTTCTTAGTTTTGATAAACGTGCCATGGTTATGTAAGATGTTAACATCGGGGTAAACTGGGTGAGTGGTATATGGAAACTCTCTGTACTGTCATTTTTCTGTAAATNGGTGGCTCACAGCAGCTCGCGAAAGTTCACGCCCACTGCCGGCCAGCCTCACTGCAGCCTACGCTGTCACCGGCGACACAGCAGCCCAGCTCCAGGTTGAGCTGTTGTTCTCCATCTTAGCTGTAGCAGGCGCAGCATCACTGGTCCTCATGTGGAATCTGAACCAGGGCCCTGCTGCTCAGAGCTGGCGCTCCCAAGCCAACTGCTAACCAACTCGGCCAGCCCAAGAGAGCCTACCATTCTTGAGACTGGATTGCAGCTGTAGGCAGAGAGAATACCTCTCCAATTCCCTATGTTTCCCCTTTTGGCAGACAGTCCACCTTCTATTGTCTACACATTCTTCTTAGTTATATTGATGCCACTGATTAGGCCATAGCCAAACTCTTCTAGTTCTTCAGGCTCTGGGCAAAGAAATTATTTTGTTTGAACAATTTAATGATTGTTCAACTGTTACTGATGATTCTCAAATGTTAGCCTGCAGAAGACATACCTGGAGATAACCTAGGAACCTGCCACAGAGAATCTAATTCAGTAGGTCTAGGATGGGGCCCAAGAGTCTACATTTTTGTTACTTAGCCCCAGGAATTCTAATGCACTGAATCTAGAAAACTGTATCAAAGGTTGATTTTTCTGGTAGGATACTGAGTTGGCCCTGCTTGTCAAATATACATTCAAAAGTTAAATATAAGGCTATCCCTGATAAGTGCAAAGGAGCAAAAGGTAGCATAGTGGTTAACCACGGAGGATACATGAATGCCGACCCTGTTCTGTCACTGGTTGAGTGTGACCTTGGACCGGTCACTTCCCTCTTGAATGTAAAATGAGGCTAACACTTCCACCTAGAGCTGTTTTGAAAGGGTTTGAGTGAATGAATTCAGGTGCTTGAANCCTCCCACCAGTCCCCCTGTTCTCAGCCCCCTCGGGTAATGCTGGAAGAGCTCCTAGAGTCACTTTGTTAGGTGTCTGCATTCCTGTCTGCCTCCCCTAGCTCTGGACCTGCTAGGCTCCTATCTCCCAGGTATCTGGCCCAAGGCTCCCTTGTTCCCTACAGGTCCCATTCCAGCCTTGGTCTGACACCTTCCCGATCCCTCAAGATTGGCTTCAGATTGCCCGATCCTGGCTTCTGTTTCTATATCAGACTCTGTCTGGCCATACTTCTCTTTACATTCCCCTGCTTCCAAAATTCTAACGCACAATACCAAAAGCCCCTGTTTCAGATAGCCTGACAAATGGACAAGACGTCTGAATTTTCAGTGAAGTGCATTTAAGTAAATTACTCAGATCCGGTTTACTTTTAAACAGGATAAAGAATTTCTGGCTGTGGAGCATGACAAAGTCCTCTGGGACTTTCCTGGACTCTAGAAAGGAGATGAGTAGCTCTGTAGACTACCAGGGCCCAGAAGACCCGCTCCAACCCCATACTGACCCACAGTCATAGACGGTGCAGGAGGGAAGGAGTCTACAGGCACCGAGTCTGGAGGTCGTCCGTAAGTCATTTCATACAGTAAGTGGCCAAAGCAGTGGACATCCACACTTTCCAATGTCTGTGGAAGAAAAGAGAGCAGTGGTATGTTCTTCTTTCAGTTTGGCTTTGTGAATCCCAGGGCTTCCACTGAGAAGAGAGGCAGGGGAACCCCACTCATGATTGGTAGTGAAAACGCAACTCCAAAGCCTTTTGTAAAAGCTCACAAGGCATTGCTCTGACCAAAGGTCTTGGTCCTGCCCTCATGGTTTTCCAATCAGTGATTCTATGCCCCTCATTGTCCCATCTACCACTTCAGCTCAGCCTCTTGGAGATACAAGAAATGCTTGCTCTGTGGGGAAAACAAGGCCAACAGGCATGGCCGACCCCAGCTGTACCTTTCACTGCTCAGTGCATGTTTCTTGCATGGGCAGATCATGGGTCTAGGCACGGGGACAATTTATACCTCAAAGTGAGCCTGCTGTTTCAATACTTCCAGCAACTTACATTGATTTTCCTGAATTGTGAGAAATAAGATCGATAGAAGGAAGGAAGGCCCAATAAGGAATTCTCAAGGTCTAGCAGCCGGCAAGTGTCCCCATCTAGCATCACATTGGAGGCATGGAGATGTCCATAAGGGAATCCCTTGTCATGTAGAAACTTTAGTACCTATTAAAAAATATGCATAGGTTACATTTTCCCCCAACTCATTCAGAGATAAAATAGGTTAAACTTTGTTTTTTAAGTCAATATATTTTGAAACAAAATCAAACAGGTCACTAAGGTTCTTAAAGAAAATTTCCACCTTCATCCATTTTTCTGGAATGGGGATGCTGAAAGCTTTCCAGCTGTGAGACCAATGCCAAGCTCCCTCATTTCCAAAGAACAGAGAAGCAGCCTTCGTGTGCTTGGGGTTAAAAGCTTTATGTCAAAAGGCTCTCCTTTAAGCACTTTCTGATCCCAACAGGCCACGCCCTCTTCAGGGCAAAGTCTTGGTCATCCTGCACATAGGAGTAAAACTTTGGCCAGTTATTCAGGAAAAGGGGTTGACCTAAAACCATCTCTAGCCCAATCTCACCTCAGAATATATTTGGCTGTTTATTAATAGAAATGTGNAAAAAAATCATTTTTACAAACTATTATTTATTATATTATATTATCATTTACTTATACTGCAAATAATATATGTAGTAGATATTTCTAAATAGAATAACTGGTTTTCCCTTTTTTTTTTTTTTTGCCCCAGAGAAGGATAAAACGTATTTTAGATCTCAATAAAATTAAAATGTACCAAGTTAAGTAGAAAGGAATTGTTCTCACTGGAATCTAATGAGAAAATTTTCTTCTAAGAAAAATCGTGTTTCTCATGTTCTCTTAAAAAGAAATAGCAGCTTTTAGAGCACATCAATTCTCTCTTCAAAACTATGTAATTAAAAACAATAGCATGAGGAATTCTAAGCTGTTTAGGCTAAAACAGATCAGAGAGTTTAAATGGTTGTTTGGGCAGTACCCAAAGGGCTCTAAGTGAGTCTTTCCTTAAACTGTCCCCATTTAAAAAATCAGGAACTACATCACAAGGAGAAGTGACAGGGTTAACCTCTCCCCACAAAGCTCCCTGGGCAGCTCTGGAGGTAGAGACATAACTGTCTCCTCCAAGGCCACGGGTCCATTTGCTTCCCACTAACACATTTTAACTGAGCCCAGTTCACACCTCTCCAAGTGCCCTTCTCAAGGCTGAAGGCTACAAGGTAGAAAGGCTTAAATGAAGAAAGAATATTTGCACTCACTTTAGGACTGGACTACTGGGAGAAAACTAGAAGAGCTTTGGAGTAGGAGAAGTAAACACACGTAAATCCACATTCCCTAACTACAAATGCATTCAGTTCTAAAAGTTTGTGTGAAAATTATTTTGTTTCCCTAACTGGATCAATTTTCCATGTTCACATTGTGATTAACAGTGGCTAGTTTGGAAAGGGATGCACCAGTGTCAGTCACACGTTAGAATGTCACATGCACGGGACGGGGGCTTGGGCTGCTCTGCTCATCACGGCCTCCCGAGGGCCCAGGATGGCACCTGAGCTATANAGTATCAGCAGATTCACCTGCACTGCCTGCCCAGCAGACCAGCGGAATTCCACATCTCTCAGAACTGAGAGTTATGTCTGATATCTTCCGATTCAAAACTCAGCAGGGCAATTTTTCATTCATGGTGAGAATGTGAAAATGAATTTGATAAGGCACCTCTTTCCAACTCTGTGGCCTCCAAGCTTCAACCAATCTATTTTTTCAAGCTTCATTTCACTTTAGGAAAATGTATCGATCTGCCCGGACATACCATCAGCTATTCCAAAGCATCAGGTGAAACAGAGTCCTTTGCCAACAGCCGCGATTATCCTGTCCCTGCTACATCAGTCGGCTAGACACACCGGAGGAGTTTACATCCTCACAATCAATATTCCTAAAAGTACGAAAACTATGCAATGTGTGTGCTATTTTAAAATCTTGCCTTTTGAAAAAGATTAGCATTTAAGAGACACTTATTTTTTCTTTTGACTTTCTCCTAGAATTTTTTTAAGTGCTTACCAATTTCAGAGTATAAAATTTAGAACTCCAGTGACTAATGATAAGGTGGGAAAGAGAATACCAGCACATGGAGTGATAGAATCACTAAGCCGGTGATTTCCTATATACTTCCACACTGATGGCTTGAAACCGTGACACCTCATCATCCCATTTTCTAGAGCTTTCCTCTGTATAATGCCCAATGGATTCCCTTCTTGAATTAAGGGAAAGAGACCAAGGAAGCTGGCAGAAAAGCCCCCAAAGTTCCATTCATAACACCTGCATAGTGACAATGCAAAGGGGAGGTGATCGCCAAAATGGGGTCTAAAGCCCATAATCTGACCCATGCTAGCCTACTAGAAGCCTGCAAATTATATGAAAAACTATATCATTTTCAAGAAAACTACCTTTTGTCTGGAGGAAAAACCTTCAAACTCTGCATCTGTTAATTTCTCACTTCTGGTACCAGATCTTAATGACCTACAAACTGCATTCAACCATGTTCCAGTGAGTATTCTAGGGAGTTCTAAACTCTCAACCCTTAATTTGTCCCCATTTCCCCTCAGTGTACAGTAGAGCCTCTCCTATGTCAACAAAGCTCAGTAATTCAAATAACAAACATTTGTGCTACAACAGACCTGAG